AGCCTAACATAATGGTGATGAGCACTGGTCGGTAGGGCCCCCTAGGATTTTTGGCTTGGGGCCCCCACAGACTCTAGAATCGCCTCTGGGTCCTCTAGTTCAAGCTTAATCTTTACACCTGTTGGGATCTGGAGGCTTGTCCACTTTCTCCACCAGAGGGCGGCTGAGATCTTCCTCCTGAGGGCATGAGCTTACTCCTACACACCTGTTTCCTGTCTGCTCATCAGGAGACCTATTTAAGGAGGAGGAGGCTGACACTTCCCTGCCAGAGAGTTTGCCAGTAATGGTTAGCAAACCTGAGCCAGCTTGCCTGATCTGTACACTTATTTGTGAACCTGTCTGATCCTGTTTCTCTCTGCCTCACAGATCCTGACTATTTTGGAAACCTGAAATCCTGGAGATAGAAATCTCAGTCTGGAATCCGCCTGCCTGCACTCAGTCTCTGCCTCTGCCCCCAGCCCTCTGCCTGCCGACTAGCCTCTGGACTCACAAGGTTCCCCCCCTGCTGATCAAAATCCTCTCTGAGCAGGTATTCATTCCCTTCATCTGTAAACCACAACTTTCCTGGATCTACTCTAACTGCTCTGTGGCTTCCCTCCAGTGACCAGTCAGAAGAACCAAGAACCTGTGCTCCATTTTCATTGAAAACATTGTAAATAAATCATTTAACTATCTTCCCTGTTTCATAGAGTGATTTCTGCATGTGGGTTAGACGCCTTGAACCCAACATGACAACACCCAGAACTAGAATCAAACATGGAGAAGCAGCATTTAGTTCCTATGCTCCACTTATCTGGGGAAAAAAATGTAAAAGTGCTGAAAGCCTGAGTTCGTTTAAATCAAAGTTAAAAACCCATTTGTTTAGAACCACCTTTGACTGTTAAACTGTTAACTGAGGTATTAGCTGAAGTTTATGGAACAACTGTTTTATTTGCTCTACTACCTGCCTGTAGCGTCTTTTTGTCTTGACTAGTCTTCTGTATTTATTTTCATTCTATTTTACTGTTAAATTAATGTAAATCAATTGGAATTGTTTTTGCACTGACTTGTGCTATACATATAAACTTGCTTTGCCTTGCCTTGGATGAATGAAAAAACGCAGCAAGCTTACGGTAAAAGGCCTGTACTTGTGTAGTTACCACGATTATCTGTAACAAAGAAAGTATTCATGGATCATTGCTTCTATGTTTAAGTGTGTCTGCTTCTATCGCCTTGAAACTCTCCAGTTGGTCTTGGCAAAAGGATCGCACTGAGCCTGGTTCTGCTGGAGGTTTCTTCCTGTTAAAAAGGGAGGGGTTTTTGTTTCTCCACTGTTGCAGCATGCATGCTCAGTGTGAGGGATAGCTTCAGAGTCAACAATACATGGCCAGGAAGCATATGCGAATATGCTAAGAGAAATGAATGCTGCAAGTCCATGATTAGATGCAATCAGCTTGGTTTCCTTAGGCAGAGCATTTTTAACCAATCTGTTTCTACAATTTAATTACATTGACTCTGTAAAGTGCCTTTAGATAACATGATGGGAATTAGCTTTATATAAAATAAACTGAATTAAATCATAATATTTTCATTGTATAATCATACATTTTTCAAAAGAAGGAAAAAAGAATAGGAATAAATTCAGATTTGTTTTCAACAGGATTATGACAATTAAAAGGGTTTAACATTTTTCCCTCATGACAATCATCACAGCATACATCATAAAGGTATTGTTTGTAAATGGTGAGACATCACTGACTCCATTCATATCAAGATAATACATAAGATCAAGGGCAATCTAATGCACACTGCCAGAGTTTTCTCTGTTAAAAATGATTATCTCTGTCTGTTAGCTCCCATTCATTAGCCTCCACATTTTAAAGTGTTACACAATGAGTAGGAAAACTATGTAATACATCTACTTTACTTAAAAGGTAGGCAATCTCAGGGTTTAGCAAATATATTAAAAAGACTAAGAATAATTGGAACAATAATGACTTCTGTTCTTGTTTCATTGCAATTCTTGGACTGCTTTTTACAAGTGCCCTCTTGATCTTCAAACTTCTTTTGGGTAATTTCTAGACTCACTTTAATCTCATAGACTTCTTTTTAAAGGTTCATCAATCCTTTAGTTGACAGCGACAACAATGATCTGCACAAATGTTTGAAAATTTTTATTTTTTTTTATTTTTTTTTACTGCTCTTCAGCAAATGTTTTGATTCAGCAGTTCTTGCATTTGCGACATGTTGACATAGAGAAGTTGTTGCTGGCTTTGGGTGCCATGGTGGACAGGACACTTAGGCCAAAGTTTTTAGGTCCAAGCATATATTACCTAGCATAAACGTTCAAAAGTCTTTTGTGAACAAAATAGTGCAAATAAATGCTAGATGTACCATTTTTTTGTTGGACAGAGGTTCTTCCGTACACAGAGCCTCGGCTCATTCAGCCGTCTCATTGTGTCTCACTGCAGACACTTAAGGAGCTGTTTCATTTCATAAAAATCCCCCAAAATAAGCATTTTAGAGAACAAATAAAAGTACAAGTTGTCTGTTCTAACATGGAAATAAGTAATTTGTGAAAGCTATAGCTTGCCGTTCAACAGGAAATCTGTATTCCCCGCAGAGCAGCTTAGATTATCCTCACAGTTATGCCATCAGTGTAAAGCCCGCTTCAGCTGTTACACATGTGTAACAGCAAAATGTGTTCCTAGGGCTGCTTGCAAAACATATTCATGTTAGTTTAACACACAGCGTTAGATTTAGCCTTAACCTCTCAAGCACATGCTCATTCTTTACAATTAATCTGCAGGTCTTGTACAGAGAGTTAATCGGACATCCTCAGACAGAGCCCCTGAGCCAGGTGGTGAGGAGGCTCGAGTCCAACAGCTCCTCTTCCGGGACTATGATGGCTGAAAGGGACCATATGCCTCTGGGCCATTAAGGCCTACACCAGATGTTCTAATAGATTTAAGAACTTCTTTGGCATAACCAGGTAAAGAAAAAGTCCTTAAAGTTGGTACTTGTATATCTAATTGAATATGAACAGTTTAGGTATTGATCATTTTAGCCAAAATCTGCATCTTGTCTTAGTCACATTGGGCTTTTCTCAAAATTTCCCACAGTTTGGACTGTTGTTACAATCACAATTAAATGTATTTGATTCAATTTTATCAACTCAATTGGAAAAGATAATTGTGAAGTCAAAAAAAAAAAAAAAAAAAAAAAAAAATATATATATATATATATATATATATATATATATATATATATATATATATATATATATATATACTGTATTTTTTTTTTTTACAAAAAATTGCACACTAAATGACAGAGAAAACAGATGAAGATAGTTTTTTTTTTTTTAGAATGTTTCTCTGACCTGTCTGCTCTGATTCATGCTGCTGTCTGATGTCCTCCATTAAAGCTCTAAAGGCTTCACAGAACAGCTGAATTTATAAAGAGATTAAATATTATTTTATACATGTCGAAAGTAAAAGTGACAATTGATTATACTGATTCTATTCATTAATAAGTGCCTAACCCAAGGCACCCCATGTAAAACCAGCTGACTTGTTATTGCATTTTTTTATTTTTTTATTCATTTATTTATTTAATTGTTGTTGTTTTTTTGTTTTTTTTACTTAAAAAGTTTTGCTTTTTAAGTAAAAAGTATTATTATTATTTTTATTTTCACATTTATACCCGATCCACTGCGCTACCGTGCCGTTTGCTTGCTGGTATCTAACAAAAAAGTATCACAGGTTTAAATCTATGGCGTTGTTCCGCTTATGGTTACCCTGGAAATGACTGAACCAACCAGAGGCGACTTTACAAGAGCTCCTAGAAATATTAGCCAATCAGGGAAGCCGTAGGTTAAGAGTCAGTCTTTTTGAAACGGCAAGGCAAGAAATTTCCAACTGACGACAACTGACGATTCCCTTAACAACACGGTATAGTGTTTTAACTTCAATATTTAATAAAACAATAAAATATTTACCTCAAAGAGTTTGCAGCGTTAGTTGCTTGGCTTGTTAGGTCGTGTTTTGTTGGTTTGCAGAAGCTTTGATATCGGCATGTTCAACGCTAGCCTCAAGTCATACAAGTCTATTAGCCCTGTTTTCATCAGATTACACTCTACTAAAGACTAAACTTCCTCTATTTTGGCTTCTTTGATCTTACAGTGGACATTTCACATGGCAGGATTTTAACCACATTGCTGTTTAATTTAGTTTTTTGTGAATATTATCATTGCTTTGGGAGCATAATGTGTCTTTATTTGTGTTATGCTACATTTTTAGCCTCTTTCAAAACATCTATTAGTAATCTGATCCTCTGGCAGACTACACAAAAACAACAGCTATCACATTACTGTTAAAATGATTGGTGGAAGAAAGATGAAGGAGTCTATTAGATAGCCTCTAGTCTTTAACAGAATAGAGTATTAAACAAAACACTAGTATTTCATTCAAAGTGTCAAGCATGGTGGTAGAGGAGTGATGATTTGGGCATGTTTTTATATGGGCCCTTTTAGGAACCAAATGTGAGGACATTTTTTTAATGGTTAAGGCTTGGATGAAGTTACATCTTGGCCCAAATTCCTCAGCAAAGTTTTAAAAGACTTTTTTTTTTTCATCTATAAAACAACATCCTCAGCAGAGTTTCAGAGTTTTTTTTCATGGATAGCTGAGTGTGCCGGTTTCCTCATAGTTTGATAGTAAAGAAAATTATAGTTTAGACATCCCTGAGCTTTTTGAACTTGAGATCTAATGAAATACCAGTAAAACCCTATAGTGACCTGATTGTGCACTGATCCATTAAACCCTAGAATAAAACACAAGCGCTGTTCTTTCACAATGACCTGACACATGCAGTGTACTACTTTATTAGGTTTTAGTACATTTTCTTTTTTTGTTACTCTAATAAGTATACATTACAATAGGTGTGACAAAAAATCGGATTTATTTGTGCAATACTTATGTTTACTGTATTTGTCATTATTGTTTGTTTGTTTTACCTAGATGTCATCAGATGAAGAGGAACCAACCAGTCCTGGTTTGCCCAAAGACTCAGACCCGGCCAGCTCTGTATCATCTGAGCTTCAGGTTGTAGATGCTATTTGCAGATACACGTACTTCGGTTATCTTAGGGCACACTAACATTACGTAGAACATCTCTGCAACAGAAGACAGTAATAGTTTCTCTTTAAAGGATTGATAAATCTGCACATTACTGATTGATATGTTGTTGGTTTTTTTTTTTTTTTATGAGTAAATACCTCCAATTAATATAATTAATCTATATTCTGCACATGAAGATTTTTTTTGGTCATTTACATTTTAGATGTAGATTTTTGCAAAAATATATCATTTAATGCAGCGTATATGCAGAGTATGCTAAAGATTATAGATAGTTTAAGCATTAATAACCTTTGATTTTTATGCAATTAAAGGTAGCGATATTTGAAATAGAACTTTACCATTTTATCATCCCAGCAACCATACAGAAGCATATATTTATATCTAACAAGCAATATTAGCTGTAAAACTACACTGGATGAATAATTAACCTTTTAAAATTTTCAATGATAGTGAAATTTATGTTTTTCATGTATATGCAAGTTTTTCTCCAGCTTAACATTTTTCATGGACATCCGTGTGTATGTTTAAACCAGCAGGATGAGTATGAAGAACTCCTCCGCTATGCTGTTGTCACCCCCAAATTTGAGAGGCTTGCTGGTTCTCAGTCGAAGGGCCCAAACTCCCAGAGAAAAGATCAATCTAAACCTCAGCATCTACCAGGTAAAAACTGTGATATTAAACTTGTCTCCAAGAAATGATCAAGTTTCATAAAGGATTTTCCATCACAGCACGTTAAAGCAGTATGTTTTCTTCTACTGTGTCTTTTTAGCATGCAGTACACCATTAACAGTACAGATACACTATATTGCCAAAAGTATTTGCTCACCTGCCTTGACTCACATATGAGCTTAAGTGACATCCCGTTCCTAATCCATAGGGTTCAATATGACGTCGGTCCACCCTTTGCAGCTAGAACAGCTTCAACTCTTCTGGGAAGGCTGTCCACAAGGTTTAGGAGTGTGTTTATGGGAATTTTTGACCATTCTTCCAGAAGCGCATTTGTGAGGTCGCACACTGATGTTGGACGAGAAGGCCTGGCTCTCAGTCTCCGCTCTAATTCATCCCAAAGGTGTTCTATCGGGTTGAGGTCAGGACTCTGTGCAGGCCAGTCAAGTTCATCCACACCAGACTCTGTCATCCATGTCTTTATGGACCTTGCTTTGTGCACTGGTGCACAGTCATGTTGGAAGAGGAAGGGGCCAGCTCCAAACTGTTCCCACAAAGTTGGGAGCATGGAATTGTCCAAAATGTCTTGGTATGCTGAAGCATTCAGAGTTCCTTTCACTGGAACTAAGGGGCCAAGCCCAGCTCCTGAAAAACAACCTCACACCATAATCCCCCCTCCACCAAACTTTACACTTGGCACAATGCAGTCAGACAAGTACCGTTCTCCTGGCAACCGCCAAACCCAGACCCGTCCATCAGATTGCCAGATGGAGAAGCGCGATTCGTCACTCCAGAGAACGCGTCTCCACTGCTCTAGAGTCCAGTGGCGGCGTGCTTTACACCACCGCATCCGACGCTTTGCATTGCACTTGGTGATGTATGGCTTGGATGCAGCTGCTCGACCATGGAAACCCATTCCATGAAGCTCTCTGCGCACTGTTCTTGAGCTAATCTGAAGGCCACATGAAGTTTGGAGGTCTGTAGTGATTGACTCTGCAGAAAGTTGGCGACCTCTTCGCACTATGCGCGTCAGCATCCGCTGACCCCGCTCCGTCAGTTTACGTGGCCTACCTCTTCGTGGCTGAGTTGCTGTCGTTCCCAAACACTTCCATTTTCTTATAATACAGCTGACAGTTGACTGTGGAATATTTAGGAGCGAGGAAATTTCACGACTGGATTTGTTGCACAGGTGGCATCCTATCACAGTTCCACGCTGGAATTCACTGAGCTCCTGAGAGCGACCCATTCTTTCACAAATGTTTGTAAAAACAGTCTGCATGCCTAGGTGCTTGAATTTATACACCTGTGGCCATGGAAGTGATTGGAACACCTGATTCCAATAATTTGGATGGGTGAGCAAATACTTTTGGCAATATAGTGTATCTGTTTACCGTTACTTTGTAAGTCTTTAATCCATGATAACAGTTCTTAAACAGCCCATCACTGCCCCTCCCCCCTTACAGCTCTCATTGTAGGTTTAGTGCTTTAACCGTCACTGAGACACAGAGAGCAGACAGCCTTTTAGGTAATGATCTTCTGGAACTCTGCCCACTCTGATCTTTAGAGTGCCGGCTTCCTCTTCTCCCTTCTGCAAAATTTAATTAAGCTATTGACGTAAATGCATTCTTGGACAGGGAGAGCCATACTCATCTTATTCAGCATTCTCAGCATCACATACCCCAATTTTTAACAATCTTCTGTTTTTAGAATATCAGTCCCACCATCAAATCAATCATTCTAAGATTGATGCTTTTGTTTTTAATGAACATTATGTTTTCATCTATTTTAAAACAAGTAGATCCTGAAACGGAAGATGGGAGGCACTCCAGCAGAAGTGTGAGGTCATCACAGGCGTCCCCCATAATCGTGGAGCCGTCCACATATTCTAAAGCTTCTCATGGTAATCCAGCGAAAAACATGATTGCTCGTGAATAAATACCTTCATGCCAGCAGAGTCATATCTTCAGTGCCTATTGTTATTTCTGCCGCCAGCTGAGCGGACAGCAGGTCAGTCATCAGGCATGGTTTCAATGCTCTCAGAGAATTTGCAGACGGCATCCAAGAGGTCAAGGTCAAACAGCCCAGAGGTCCAGGAATTTTCTGTCGCAGAGATGTTTATTTCTGAAGACAACATAAGCAAAATGGAAACTATTATTGACACGTGGAGCAACAACCTGAAGGTTAGTTGAGCTCCTCCTTCTGTGAAAGCAGTTTATCTGTCATGGGAAGGATAAATGTTAAAATAAAGGTTAAATAAAGTTTCAATATAATTAGTTTGCTTAATGGGATCTTTGACAGAATACAGAAATGTTTCTTTGAACAAGTAGATTTGGATAGCCGTTATCTCAGATTCTGCAGTAGCTGTTACTAATGCTAAATAAATTAGCTATAGCTAATATAATATGCTTAAATTATTATATTTTATCTTTTCTTTTACTTTTTTATTTCTCATGCTCTCCATGTGTTTTTATTTTGCACTTACCTGTTTTACTATGTAGCACTTTGGGATTTGTATAAATATAAAGTGTATTACAAGTCCAAATTATTATGATTATTATTATTATTAAATGCAAGTCAGAATGTGAAGTCTTGTTAAGCCCCTGTTCAAAATATCAGAAAAACTTTTTAGGATCCATTCTCTCTTTCATACATGGTGTGACGATGCTACTGCTTGTAATGTAGTGATTGAATCCAGCTCATTGTGAGAAGGCTTAAGAGAAATGTACTGATTTTAATTTTTCCATTTGTAGGTTTCAAATAAAAGCTTAGTCATTATACAATCAAACAAAATACATTTAGTTTAAAAGCTTCACAGATGTAAATATTATTGTATTTAGAGCATATGTTGACTATATTAAAGCATCACTCAAAGAATGGCAAAGATTGCAACCTAGAATGAGGATCTAAGTATCCTGAGGTGATGAAGGGACTGAGTCTTAATGACACTTTTCTAAAAGCATGACAGCCCCTCTCTTTTTAGAAAAGGTGACCTTTTAACTGTACAACTGTGCTGACGGGAGTGTTTTAGATGAGGTGGGTGTATCCATCCTGCCCTTTAACTTGGCTGTAGAACAGCTCATACATGGAGGGCATGTGACAACCAATCAACGTCTAATCAGTGGTGATAAAATGGAGAGAGAACCACTGGAGGAAGGAGGGAATTTCAGTCTTTCTGATCCGGCAATTCATTAAATGGGCTGTTAAAAGTTATTTTTATAATGAAACTTAATTTCATATAAACTAAGCAAGCTTACCTTGGTAGAGAGGTTCTGTTTGACCTTGTATTGGTGAAACTACTTTAAAAGCATTTATCTGCAAATCCAGAATGATGGTGAACTTGAGTCTGGCTAAACATAAATCTTTTAAATAAGTATTTTCAACAAACCTCTGCCCTCCAGGGGAGACTGAGAACGTATTGTAAGCATCATAACCTGTGTTTGTTCTGCAGTCGAATGTGCTGACTGAGCTCCGGAAGTGGAAGTATGCGATCATGGAGCAGCACAAGCTGGAGATGATGAAGGAGAGGGAAAGGCATGCAGCCCAGGCAGCTGGCCTGAAGTCAGAGCTGGTTGCCCTGAAGGAGCTGCTGAACACTTATGAGACTTCCAACAAGAGAAAAGATGAGGTCTGTATTGATCGGCTTCCTTGATGTGACAGGTGGTGAAAAATTGATTGTACCTGAAAACAACAAAGAGCGCTCCACTCTAAAATGTGATTTATAACCTTGAAGGGATCTTTTTAAGGCTCTTCCTTAGATGTGGGTGAGAGCTTGTTACATTTTGCCTCTAATAAAATCTGAAGCACCATTTTTTTCACTCTTTCACTTAAGGTAGTTACCATAATCATTCAATGCTGCCATACAATCATATAACTATAGTGAATATTAATATCCTCACTAATTATATTGTCACAAAAAAACAAATGAGGTCTGAGTGTGAGCATCTATACATACTAACACAAATTCCTTAATACTTGTTATCCTCTTGGAGACTATTAGGATAGTGTGGACGTTTTAAGCTGGCATGCTTACTGTGTGATGTGTCCGCTCACAGGTGATCCAGAATCTGAGCCAGGTGTTGGACAGGCAGAAAAAAAAGCTGGAAACTATGAGGACCTTCATGCACTGGAGACTCCAGCAGGCTGGTGCCAAAGAAGAGGTGCAACTAGCAGACATTCATACAGGTTTTAGCTTCTGCTGCGAGATTTAAGGAAACTTCCTCCTGGTCTGATGTTATACATCTACCCCACACACATCCTCCTATTATTGAAAGGATTTCGTTTTTTTAACTGTTGGTTGGAGAAAGTCGTACTCACAGCCATTTATTTCCCAACCCGAGGATCCTAGCTTAGCATATTCTCTCTAACATCTCCTTTCTGACATGTGAATTAAAACAAGATGCAGTTCACATGCAAATAGAATAATTTTCTCTAATGTAGTAAGAATTCGACTCATTTGGTTAAAGGATGTTTTCCAGTAAAGCATTTTTTTCCATGAGCAACATAAAAAAAAAAGAAAGAAACATTAAGCTCTTTGCAGGCTTTTGGCACAATGGCACAGTGGGTAGCACTGCTGCCTTGCAGCAAGGAGGTTCTGGGTTCTATTCCCGGTCCGGGGTCTTTCTGCATGGGGTTTGCATGTTCTCCCTGAGGATACATGGGTTCTCTCCGGGGAGTCCGGCTTCCTCCCACTGTAAAAAAAAAAAAACATGACTAAATTCTCCTTAGGTGTGAGTTTGTGCGTGAAAGCTTGTTTGTCCTGTGTGTCTCTGTGTTGTTGGATGGATAAGCTCTTTGCAGAGGTTTTAAAGTGATGATCAGCACAGATCATTGGGAAGTTGAGCGGAAATTTTAGATGATCTTAGTCTCTTTTTAATGAATATAAATATGTAAAACTTGGTGAGCATTTTTGATCAACCTCCTATGAATATTCGGGATAGTTAGCTTTTCCTACCAGTAGAGGTGTGAGTCTTTGGGGTTTGTTCCTCCTACTCTACATACTCCCACTTCAGATGAAGATCTCTGGATGTCTAAGACCAACAATGGACTTATTTGCTGCTTCTCTGATGAATATCTTGCCTTCCTTATCAGTTTAAGTGGATATCCCTGCCTTGGTAGGTTAAATGCATTAAGCTGCATCCTCCTTCCCTGAATCACAAACCCAGCAGCTGAAAAGTCTCCTTCACAAGCTGTGCTTGATGCCGGAACGGCAAACACATTAGATTTGGGAACATTGATCTTTCCCCAAATATATGCTAAGAAACTTGATTGAGTGAAGGGGCTGAATACAAATGCACCTTACACTTTTCATTTACTTCAAATCATTTAGTTTTCTTCCCTAATACAGTTATCCTCTGTGTTGGTCTCTGAAAAAAAAAGTTAAAAGTTTTGCAGATGTACCAAAACAAAATCTAAAGGTGTTCAAGCAAATTAGATAGTGTTGTACAGCGATGTATCGACCTCTTCCATTCAAAGTTTTATGTAAAATCTTAGTGCGTTACTTAATCAACTGTGAAACTGTAACTTTAAGCATTCAACAAAAGGACTTTTTACTTTGTTTCTAAGTTGAAACCCTACCAGATACATCACTGAATTGGAAAATATTCCCAAGCAGCAAATTAAGAAATGAAATGTGAGATATTTTTTTGTTTCTGTGCTTCCCTGTCAGGCTCTTGCTGCTCAGGTGGCTCAGCAGCACTACAATTTACAGCTGAAGAGGAAGGTGTGGCTGGGTTGGCACAGCCTGATCCAGAAACACTGGAAGGTGAAGGTGGAGAGAGCGTGCCGCTCCAGGGCAGAGGAGGTCTGCTCCCGCCTGTCCACAGAATATGAGGCTAAGCTGGCAGAGGTAAACATGTTAAAGCATTTTAAATAGGTGAATCATTAAAATAAGAGTAAACTCAGTTGATAATTGAATCGTGAACAGAGTGTACAGATTCTAAAACCAGCCATGTGCCAGTTAAAAAAACAACAGTTTTTAGTCATAGTCAGAGCTATGACTAAAAGTAAAATCCTAACTTCAGGTAATATTATCAGTACTCTTATTAAGTACTAACCTCTGAGATCTTTCTATCTCCACAGCACTGTGAGGCTGTAGAGAAGGCTCACGCAGAGATTCGGAGGCTTCATGTGGAGCGGGAGCGATACGAGGAGTCTATGAAAAAGGCCTTTATGAGGGGTGTCTGCGCACTTAACATGGAGGCTCTCAACATGTTCCAATCCACGGAAGGACGAGCAGAGCAGCTGCAAGTTCCTGAACAACACGGTTTGTAGCAAAATTACGTGACAAATATAAAATCTGTAACACTCGCCTCCTGAAACAACTGACCCCCAAAACGACCATCATTAGACCCACGTAAGTACCGCCCACATTTATCCCCAGCCCTGCTAGAGATGGACAGCAGGATGTGGAAAATACTTAAAGAATAACATTTTTACTGTAGTGTAATCTACTATGAAAAGAAAATGGTAAAATGAAACCTTTAATTAATTATCATTTCTTCAGTTTGTATGAAAACAAAAAAGTAAGAATTAGTTTTAACTAAATCTTTAGTCTTAAAGGTACACTATGCAACCGGTGTTGATTTTCCAGCGAGACTCCCCCCAGAGGGCGAAAGTAAAAGTGCACTGTCGTAAATATGCACAGCTGTTCTCCTGGTTTCTCCGTCAAGCCAGGCGCGGTTGTTTTGAGCTTAGCAGACAGGCGAACGCAACGAATTACTAATGCTGCGTTCACACCGCAGCTGGCGCGACAGAAGCAGCGAGTTTACATGCAAAGTCAATGGTTGACGCGCGTCAAGGCGCAGCAAAAGGTCCTGCGGCGCGTTTTGAGGCAGCAGGCGCAGCACATCTGAGCAGCTGAAGCAGGGAGAGAGACACAGCGCTGATGATCAGAGGCTATGATCTCTCCTCTTAAACAGTTTATTGATGCCTAAATTAACTTAAAATGCAGAAATCTGCCGGCAGAATATGCAGTTTGGATTATTTAGATCAAAAACACCTACCAGCTGCCGCGGTGAACCGCGAGGACGTGACCTGGCCAGAGGCTGCTGATGAAGGGGTTCCTTCTGTCGGCGCACCGCTGGTATGTGGGGGTCTGAGCGGCTCCGACAGAAAAAATATTGAAGGCAGGATAATAATCTGAATGAACTGACGGCACTGATTACGTTTTCAGGTGTATTTTCTCATTTAAACACATATTAAAACTACTTTATTCCAAATGATCACAGCAAATATAGCTGCAAGGCAGAGAAAGGATAGTGAAGCTCCGCCCAACGCGCATCAGACACACTTTTGCACCGTACAGCCAGAGCGTCAGAACTAACTGGTTCAAGCAGCAAAAATGAAGCAGCAGACACGATTTTGCTGCTTTTGCTGCGTGAACGTAGCATAACTGCACAAGGATCGCCACTGTGCTAGCAACGAGAATGCTTTTAACTGGGGGATGTAGCAGTTCTCGGCCGTAAAGCAAGACTGACTCTCACGAGACTTCTGAGCCTGTGGGTGCGGGTCGGTGCTCCTGCAATTGCAAGTGCAGTATTTCCCCCACAGACCACCAGGGCGGCCGAGAATACCTTTGTTCAACCTGAAATGACTCATTTAATCATCCAAAACGTTATGGAACACATTAATTAACTGAAAAATGTTGCATAGTGTGCCTTTAAACTATGCCTGCGTCAACACTTTATTCTACTTTTAGCAGCAACAGTTTCATACTAGAGGTTGGAGCTCAAAGAGGGAGACAGAGACAGGGCTATTAGACCTTTCTGCTGAGCACAGATTGGACATAATCCTCGATCTGACCTACTCTCTTCTTATATCACAGGTTAACTGCAGGGTTGGGGTTATGGTACTGAGATGACAATGAAAAATAATAGATTTTGTGTTTGATGAACCATGTTGACGTTGCTTGTTGTGGATCATTATCCCGCTGAAAGATCCAGTCCAGATCAATTTTTACTTTACTGGCAGAGGTCCTGGTGTCTTGCTGTCTTACAAGGTTGGAAAAGAAACAGACCTTTAACATCACAGATTCTTTCTCAGCCGACTCCCATATCAATATTGCCATTTTAGCAGATAAACAATATTTACCTATTTATCTAAACTTTTGGCACTTGGGGAAAAACAACCACCATTAACTGCTTATTAATTAACCTCCCCTTAACTCACTATTTTAAATCCTGGCACTATTCTGGAAAAAAACACACAGGATTTACCAAATTAAGCAACCGTTCTATTGCCGCTCGTGCCAGAGGTGGATCTCATTATTATCAGCTTGTTCTAGCATGTTCCGCTGCTCATCCATCTGCAGTAATGAGCTTTTCCTGCCATTATCTCGCTGTCGGAGAGGGTGCTCTCGTGAATCTTCATAGTCTTTGTCAATAATGTGAACATTAGCCAGTTACATAGACGCTGACTAATTAACCTCTTTTACGACATTTATTTATGTACAGGCACATATACAGTCATGACTAAAAGTGTTGGTACTCGAGACATCCTTCAAGAAAATTAAGCATTTCTTCTGCAAAATGACTGCATTCACATATGTTTAGTTATACACATTTATTCTGTGACAGAATAAAAAGCTTTTAAAACAAAAAAAGCAGCCACATTTGAAATAGTTTTACACAAAACTCCAGAAATGATTAAGATAAAATTACTGGCTGAAATCAGTGGCTTTCTGCAGCCATCAGTAAGCTTCCTTCATCTCTCAGCTGGAGGTTTGAACCACTGATCTTTGACACTCTGCTCCAGGTCTGTCATTGTTTAATGGAGTCTTCTCCAAATAGCAGTTTTAGGCTAGGTCCAGACTAATTGCTGGCCACTTTAGAACTGTCCTACACGTTGTTTCCTCCCATATCGTTTTCAACTATGTTTGGGGTCATTGTCCTCCTGGAATACCCATGACCTAAGAATTTTTCGATGTGACCCCAAATCCTTTGCTTATCTTCAGATTTCCTGAGGACAGCAAACAGTCAAAGCACTAAATTGCAGAAGCATTAATGCGACCCCAAATCATCTCCCCCATACTTGACTGTATAGCACGGAATTGACTTGAATTACCTAACAGCTTTATCTTTTTGCATATCTCTGAAACATGTTCCAAGAGTGAGTTGTGCTCTTTTTCTTTTGTACATTTACATTTCAGCAAGCTGAAGTCTCATTTTTCTAAGTAATCCGAATTAGCAGTTTGGCCCTCCTCGGTCTCCTCTTTCAACCTGTGTATCTTTATTTTTGAGTTACAGTGAGGAAAATAAGTAATTGAACACCATGCTATTTTGCAAGTGCTCCCTCTAAGAAACCATGGAGGGGCCTGAAATTGTCATCGTAGGTGCATGTCCACTGTGAGAGACATAATCCAAAAAAACAGAAATCACAATATATGATTTTTTAAAAACTATTTATCTGTTTGATATAGCTGCAAATGAGTATTTCAACACCTGAGAAAATCAACAGTAGCATCAGTAAAATTAACAATCTTACAGTAGCCTTTGTTTGCAATTACAGAGGTCAAACGTTTCCTGTAGTTTTTCATCAGGTTTGAACACACTGCAGGAGGCATTTTGGCCCACTCCTCCACACAGATCTTCTGTAGATCAGTCAGGTTTCTGGGCTGTTGCTGAGAAATATGGAGTTTGAGCTCCCTCCAAAGATTTTCTATTGAGTTTAGGTCTGCAGACTGGCTAGGCCACACCAGAACCTTGATATGCTTCTTCCAGAGCCACTCCTTGGTTATCCTGGCTGTGTGCTTCGGGTCATTGTCATGTTGGAAGATCCAGCCTCGACCCATCTTCAACTCTAATTTAGGGAAGGAGGTTGTTTATCAAAATCTCACAATACATTACCCTCGTCCTCTCCTTAATATGGTGCAGTCACCCTGTCCCATGTGCAGAAAAACACCTCCAAAGCTTGATGCTACCAGCCCCATGTTTCACAGTGGGGATGGTGTTCTTGGGATGATCCTCATCATTCTTCTTCCTCCAAACAGGGTTAGTGGATTTATGACAAAAATTGCTATTTTGGTCTCATCTGACCACATGACTTTCTCCCATGTCTCCTCTGGATCATCCAAATGGTCATTGGCAAACTTAAAACGGGCCTAAACATGTGCTGGTTTAAGCAAGGGAACCCTTGGTGCCATGCATGATTTCAAACCATGACGTCTTAGTGTATTACCAACAGTAACCTTGGAAACGGTGATCGCAGCTCTTTTTAGGTCATTGACCAGCTCCTCCTGTGTAGTTCTGGGCTGATTTCTTTTCTTTTTTAAGATCAATGAGACCCCACGAAGTTCCAGCCTTGTGGAGGTGTACATATTGTCTCTAGTGTCTTTGGACAGCTCTTTGGTATTGGCCATGTTAGTAGTTGGATTCTTGCTGATTGTATGGGGTGGACAGTGTGTTTATGCAGCCAACGACCTCAAACAGGTGCATCTAGGTTACGATAATAAATGGAGTGGAGGTAGAAATTTTGAAGGCAGACTAACAGGTGTTTGAGGGTCAGAATTCTAGCAGATACGTGTTCAAATACTTATTTGCAGCTGTATCATACAAATAAATAGTTTTTAAAAAATCAAACATTGTGATTTCTAGATTTTTTTTTTAGATTATGTCTCTCACAGTGGACATGGACCTATGACGACAATTTCAGACCCCTCCATGATTTCTATGTGGGAGAACTTGCAAAATAGCAGGTTATTCAAATACTTATTTTCCTTACTATTCATGTGATATGTGTTTTTTTAGTTTTTTGTTAACTAAAATAAAAAAATTAACACCGTGATGTATATACACAGATGGTCAGCTGTAACGCTATGTTATATTTCTTTGTAGATTCTCTGGATCCCCAGGAGGAATGTGGACACTCATCAATGGCTCAATTTCAACCATTTCCTTCCACCTCAAAAAGATTCAGTCCAGTCCACTTTGAGCGCTCTGAACCTCTACAACGGGAAGCAGAAGATGTGGTGAGGAACTGATTTATTACTGAAATTTTTTTTTTTACATCGATTATTGTTTTTATGCCTCTTGTTGTTTTATTTACTCTTGAGTGGGCTTTTGTTTTATTTTTCACATTTCTCAGCAGAACAATCAGGGTATGTTCACTTTAGCCTCATCTGTGTCTTTCAAAGAAACTGCTTTTTTTTTTTTTTACTGCATTTAATTGAGAAGGTATTCATTAAAAATGCTCCAACAAACTCTAATTGTATTAGACGCATCAAAACAAATCTGAAAAGTTTAGAGCAAAACTGAACCTTTTGACTGATGGCTGTGTAAATGATATGATGTGCTTAATGACAAATGCAGGTGGCAGCATTATTCTGTGGGCTTGTTTAATCTACTGTATTATGTAAGCTGAGCTTGGCCGTCCTGGAACAAAGCTGTGAAAGCCTGAAGATACTTCTGACAGCACAGCAACACATAAAGACAACATGTAGGCAGAACTGCAATAGAATAGTTTAGATCAAAGCGTATTCATGTATTCTCGGAATGACCGAAAGTCCGAACCATATGTTTGTAAGAACTGCATTAGAACTTCAGTTGATTTTAACAGACTCATTTTTCCAGTCTGAACTATTTTGAAAAGAATAAAGGGAAGAAATATAAAAAAAATCCTCAGTTTAAAGCAAAAGTTAGAGCTGGGATTATATTCAAAGGTGGCTTTAGATAGTTTTGTCTCACAGGGCCTTTTTTTTCATTTGAATTAAAATAATACAGGGGACATTGCTTAAAATCTCAATGAAATACATCAAAGTTTATGGTTTTATACAAATTAAAAAGGTTTGAATATTTCTGGGTGCATTGTAATCCCACAATAACACAGAGCTTCTTATTTAATATTTACCGGTACTCTGTCTGCAGGCCTATTGTCTTGTTTCATGTCTGCCTGGTCAGATGGGGCCGCTAATGTCAGCTAATTTCTTCTCTGATGCTCTCTCTCATTCCAGCAGGTTGGCTCCAGAGGCCCCAAACCACAAGAAGAGATACTTCCTTCTACTACAGTGGTGCACAGCTCGCTCCCTCTTGGAGGCATGGCCAGCTCCCACAGACAGGTGAGCGCTGCACAGGTGATCTTAGAGAGAATCAGGGATCAGTCTGGAAAAGTGAGGAATCTGCAGACAGTATGGTTCAAATGTGGTCTGTAAAATAATGTTTCCAGACTGCATTCCCTTTCTCATTCAGCCAAATGTTTTATCCTTTTAGTCCTTTGTTCCTGATATCCTCCCTTTTCTCCTCTCGCCTTTTTTCCTCCTTTCTTACATTTACTTCTTCTGCGCTTCCTAGTTTTTCCTTCTTTAGCCCCTTTGTTGCATCCCTCTCTTTCCCTTCCTTTTTTCCACCCCTTTCCCTTTATTTTTTTCCTTTCTCCATACCATACATTTTCCCTAGTTCACCATATAAGGCATGATCAGAGTAGTTAGCAATTCATTTTTTTTTTAAATGTTCAGTCTTTTAAAATAGCTTTAAAAGACTGAGAAGTCTGAGAAATGTGTATATATATATATATTTTTTACAATAAAGATGTGCGAAAACTCATGAACATGAATATCTGAGTAAATGAAATGGAAATAAGTTTTATTTCTTAGAGTCCTTTACAAGCTGTCTCTGTAGTTTTTCTAAATGCAGCTGTGCTATCTGTGCTGTTTCAGTCTGCTGGTGGGGCTGTGACAGCTGGTCAACAAAGGCCCTCAAAGACGGTGACGGCTCGCATCAGTACGCGAGCTGATGTCGGGAAGGTCCCACACAGCAGCCTCCAGGTGATGGGAGTGGCTCCACCAATGAGCTCTGTGGTAGTAGAACGCCATCATCCTGTTACTCAGGTACGGGAGGGAGTGAAGATCTTTACTTCAAGTAGCTTATGTTTATACATCTACATAAAACTATATTTATGTTTCTATTCTCTCAGCTGACTGTTGGACAGGCGATGGCTGCAAAGTTCCCTCGACCCTCCCAGCAGAGCCACGCCTCTGCAGCAGGAAGAGGCTCATCTCGAGCCCACACCAGCTCATGCAACATCGACTCCATCAAAGTAGTGGAGTGATCATAAATTTGATTAAACTGTTTATTTATTGTATGCAGAAATACTTATTTGTTCTTTAAACATTCATAGGAGGTCTGTTGAGATCATATCGTTTTTTTGTAAAAAGCTCAGTAGGTATCCTCTAGGGGAAGAACATGTTTACTTTTTATTAATGTAACAGTTTAGAGTTATAGATGGATGTCTACCTCCTCTCAAAATTTAATTATGCACAACCGAAGGTGGATTTTATTGTATAAAAGCATTTTTATATCCATCAATGATTTAGACTAGAAGCCACAGTTTTTTTACTTTCTTAAAATGAAGTCATTTTTTAATGATCAGCACATTGCTGTTTTCTAAATAAATGTTTTCATCACAAGCTTCTTACAGAAATCCATGACTGATGATGATCATGAAATGCAGCAACTCCTGCTGGTGTTTTCTGCCTCCACCCAAATCTTATCTGTAGGATGAAATAATATTTAACACTATAGACTGGAACTTGACAATGATTGTTTGTCAGTATGTAAAGAAAAGGTTACAGGAACCTGCAGCCTTCCTGTTCCCAATGAGGATGAGTTCCTGGTAGAGTTGTTGGGAGGGACTCCTCTGAGCAAGCTCCTCCCCATGGAGCCAGATCAGCAGCATCCTGTGGCCATGTTCTTTATAGCTCTGCTGACCTGCAGATCAGCAGCACAGCACCGTATAGTCAGGACAGCAGGAAGACTTGTTGACAGTTTAAACGAGTAATCAGTTTAAATTAGGTGTTATAAAACCTTTATATTATAAATTAATAAAAAAAAATAAAATAAAATGAATGGGCTGAAATGATGTACTACTTTTCTATTCATGCTGACCATTCGAAGCTGAATTCAATAAATTACTCTCACAAACACGTGAAATTTAAATGGCGGTATGTAAATAACGCCATTTTGTCCAATTCATCCACTCATCCATTTAGTGTTCTATCCATGTGATTCCTTTCATTTGTCCATCCATCCAACATATTATTTTAACTCATCCATCTTACGTCACTTTATCTATATTCTAAATTTAACCGACTGTATAGAGCCGTCAATCTGTCTTTTCTCCCATCCTTTGTCCATTTATGATCCATGGGGTTCTCCAGCTGGTTCTCCATCTGGAGCGTTCCTTTAACTATTTTATTTATTTGTCTATCTGCCATCCAGTCATCTGTCTATGCATCATCCATCCAATTATTCCTCCATCCATCTAGTCTTTACCTCATCTAGTTTCCCACCATCCAGCTACTAGTTCATCTGTCTACCTGTACATTCAGTTTTTCTGTCCCATTAATCCAACCAGCCATCAATCATCCACCTACTGTATGTCCATCTGTGTGCCTGATATATTTCCAGCTACCCACTTTTTCGCTTTCAGAGGTTTTTCTCACTTCCTGATATATAGTCTGACGCATATAAATATCCATATGATGTATTTGGGATTTTTGTTTGATTTCAGCTTTAGGGATGAGCTAAAAATGACTGAGCTCTCTGGAAAAATCCTGTTAAACCATGTAACTATGTAGCCTGTGGTTTGAACTTTCAGCATTTAATGACAACAGACTGTTTTTAAATCTTGTTCAGTGTGTTGGTTTATGTGGCACCTGTCCACTGATCCTCAATAGCAGAAACTTGCTCTTTAGTAAAAGCCCAGTTCTCTGCCAGTCGTTTCCAGTCTCCTGGCTTCAGCAGCTCGTACGCTAAGCGCCAGGCAGTTGAGCGGAGCTGCTTGGTTTCAATCCGGTGGTCAAGTTTAAACGTCAGCGGATGCTCACTGTAAACACTTTCATTAAGCCCTGGGTTGGTCTGAAAGGGCAATTAAATCATGTCAGAGGACTGATAAAGGGAAAATATTATTGGCAAAGCACCAAAACACATCATTAGTAATATGAATGTCAGAGTTAAGCATTTCAGCAATCAATAATGTTGGGGAATCATGCATATCTTTAATTAGATTTCTGGTAAATTGCTTGTCACGTTTTTGGGTTGTTATTTTTTACATGTGATCCTTTAATGTTATTAGAAGGGGTTCAGCTAATTGAGAAAGGGTAGGTGCCAAATAAATCTTTTCTGATGGATTTCAAGGCCTGAAGGGGTTTGCAGCTCATATAAACTCTTTTAAAGGGGTCAACTAACACGCTGCATGGCCGTAGAAATTGTAAATTTCTTGTACATAGCTCCATACATGTTTATTTCTCACCTTTATCCAGCTGTAATATCGTTCGGCTTTGATGATCATGTCCACAATGATCACCTCATTTGCCCTGGCTGCCACGCCCAGAGCAGTTTTACCTTGCTGCTCCACATCGTTCACAGGAAATAAAATTTTAAAAAGAATTAGATTTAAAATCTCACTTTGTATAATTTCTGATTTTCGAATTATTTTTTTTATTTTATTTTTTTACATGATCATTCTTACTCTGTCTCTGGGAGTTAGATCCACTCCGGCTTTCAGGAGCGTTTCCACGACTTCAGCACTGCCTCGCTCCGCTGAAAGATGCAGAGCAGTCTGGAGTCTCTATGGGACACAATACAGCTTAGGCAATATCTCCAGATTTATTTATTTCTCTAATGAATTTTGGATTGACATCGTTTCAGGCTTTCCACACTGCCTGCAAAAGTCTCAGACATGATTAAAGTATTTCTAAGGTTTCAATAAATACTGAATTAATATTTGGCTTCATTCTCTGTTGGCTCTATTAAATGCTGTATTACTTTCTGCTTCCCATCACTCGTTCTTTATCTCTCCCTTTCTCCCTTCCTTTTTCTGTTCCTTTCTCACTTCATTTTTTTTTCCATCACTCTGTGCTTTTTCTTTTGTACTCTTTCCTTCTTTCCCTCCTTCTTTCATTCTATCTTTTTTATACTTCCTACCCCATTCTGCCTTTCATTGTTAGATTCATTCCCTTTTTTTTCACTGTTTTTCTTTAGTTTGTCCTTCTTTCCTGTGTTTTCCTTCTATTTTTACTGACACATTCAGATTTCCTTACTTCTTTCCTCCCTTCCCCGTTTCCGCCTTATTTACAAATTCAGTTTTCTGTTTCTCCTCTTTCTTTCCTTCCTAACTTTATTCCTTCCATCAAGCTCTTTTATTTTATCTTCCAAACTTCAATCTATCCCCTTCCATTTTTTTTATCTTCTATTTTTGCTAATGCCCAAAGAAAGTAAGAAGTGGGTTTGTTGATCAGTGTGGAAAGTGTAATTTGGTTGTTTAATGTCTGTGAGCCCCTGTTGTTATTCTGCTGTGTTATCATACCTTGTCAGCTATGTTAACGTTGCAGCCTGCCACTATTAAAGAATGGATTACAGGGATGTGACTGTTCTTCACTGCCAGGTGGAGTGGCGCCTCCAGCTGCTGTGAGGAAACATTAATTTATTTTCTCAGAAAGAAAAGAGAAATGATCCAGATGCAGAGGTTAGATGCAGCATCTCTACGAGATTATGGAAATGTACTTTTCCCAGCTGGCTTGTGTTTCCTCACCTGGTTTTGAACATCTGTATGGGCGTTGAACTCTAAGAGGAGTTGGACCAAAGACAAGTCTCCTTTTTCTGAGACCGTGTGGAGGGCACTGCATTTGGCCTATGGAAAACAGGAGTTAAGCTCCAGAACCTAAATTGCATGTAGGATTTTTCAATGACCACCCAAATCACTAAGCATTCACATATTTGAAAGGGGATTATTTAAACGACTGACAGTGATATAAATATTATTTTTTAAAGCTTAAATCTGGTTATACCACTGTGAGGATGTTGGGGTCACAGCCAGCCTCAAGCAGGGCCAGGACGCAATCTTCCTGACCGGTATCTGCAGCCTGGTACAGAGCCGTCTCACCATCCTTCAACACAGGAGTTTAGAATAAAACAACTATTTATGTGAGCAGAAACAAAACAAAGTTAACATAATTAAACTGAAATATCTTGAATAGTCTATAATGCTATTATGAATGTAGAAATCACAGTACAGCCTTTAGAAGTTAGGGTTTCCATTTATGCTGGATCATAGTATATGTGGTTGCATTAACAGAAACATGTCTGATAGTTCTTAATTAATCCTAAATAGAGCCACCATGCAGCAGTGGATTATCCATTCAAACAAAGAAAGAGAGGAGGATTTCCTACAACATTGACTTCATCCCGAGTATCAAAGCTCTGCAGCAGCAGTTGGATGGCGTCCAAGTGGCCGTTCCTGGCAGCTAAGTGCAGGGGCGTGTCCCCTCTCTGCCAGAATGGAGGGAGGGAATAATTTGCATCAAAGAGGGGTTGACTTTGAGCTTCCTGGTAGGTATGATGCAAACAATATGCATGCAGGGACTCAGACATAAATGCCCTTATTTAAACAAGGAACAAGATGCATCATTATCCTACAGAAAAAAGACACACCAACCTTATTGGGCTTCATTGTGGCCATGCTGTATGGCTCCATCAGTATTTTTAGCATTTCTAGGCTTCCATGTTCTGCTGCCAGTGCAAATGGACGATTTCCTGACTGGAATACAGACAGAGAATGCAGGTGCAGGCAGCAACACATGGTGGATGTAAAAAGAAAATTACAAATCGGTTGAAAATGCCAGGATTTTGTGAGAAAATATGAGAACCAAAGTCACACAACATTTTTGAAATGTTTTCACAATAAAAGTTTTACAGTTTGTATAATGCAGCTGGTACAAAACGATCTAAAAATAAAAGTTGCAAAGACCTTGCTGCATACATGTTCCCAGCCCTAAGTCCAGTCTTTGTCATCTTATCCTCAGTGTCAGCCTGTTGTGCTCTTTGACCGGAGGTATTGATTTAATTAATTCAGCTTAAAAACACTGTATCATCTCAAGACAATCAACCTATAATCATGAGGCTTCTACCCCCATGTTGCATTGTTGGTGTGGCTTTCTTTTTGTGATTTTCCTTGTTGTTTTTGTGCTGTTTTGAAGCTGTGTTCATAAAGTTGGTTCCACCATATGCTTCCCTTTGATGTTCTGAGAAATTTCCAGCTTGATCTGGGTGGTTTCTTTAAAGGACACGGCTTGTTGCAGTTTTTCCAACTCACCTTAAAATAGTTTTGCAGTTTTATTAGAATTGCAAACGGATGGCAGATTTAAATTTATGAAGTTTTAACTTTAACTAAATAAAAAAGGGTCTTTAACAGAGTGTTATTTTAATCGTGTGCACACTTATGCATCATGTTCTTGCACCTTTTTACTTTCACATGCAGATCTAACCTTACCTTAAAATGTACAAAATAAATATCATATCAAAAAGACTTACTGTGCTTTTTAGAGAGAAATTTCTTGAAAATACTATAATTTTAACAGAAATGTGAACATGAAAGATCCACTGTACAAATGTGATGCCCTTTATTAAAAAAAAGTAGGACATTTTATTTATCAAAAGCAAATACCTGATCATCCTTGTCTAAGTCTTTCATTTGCATATCGTTGATAATATACTCCACAATATCAGTGTGGTTGTTGATGGCAGCACAGTGCATGATGTTCAGTCCTTCCTGGGAATTAATTTAAAAAAAGCATTTTACACACATGAAGCACATATATTTGCTTTTTATTGCCTTCTGTTGGTGAGATAACCTTCTTATAAAAGTTTACCTCATTTTCGACTTTCTGTTCAGCTCCAGCCTGGACCAATAGCTTCAGCATCTCCAAACTGCCGAACCAGGCAGCTAGATGAATGGCGGCCATGCCAAACTGCCATTACAAGAACACAGTAATATACTTAAATATGTAACCTAGCCTGCTTTTCTGGTTTGTTGATGTTTTTCTTCATCTGTCTCACTTTGTCCTTTTGATCCACTTTGACCCTGCGCTGCAGAAGGAACTGTGTTGCATCCTTGTTTTTGCCAGCTACTGCGTAGTGAAGGGCTGTCCTGTTGTGCTGTTTTTGTAGATCACATTACTGCAGCTTCTTTACAGAAAGTTTTTGCTTATTGCTTTTTATACTTTTCTTGCAGGATGACATTCTACGTTATGTTTTCTACTCACCACATTCTTTGCGTTGACATTCACACTTTTTGCAAGATACTTCATGGTCTTCACATCGTCCCTCTTTGCTGCCTCCATGAACTGCTTCTCGATGTCAAGCACTGCTCCACATTTAGGGGGGCGGGGGGTCCACACACACACAACCAGTTTAGTTTACACCAAAACACCATAATGTGGATTAATTCAATATGTTTATCATGGAAATTCAGAAATTCATTCTTTCTTGTTAAGGATCTACTGATTTTATCCATCATAAACATTTGTTTTGGCAGTTTACTCATCTAGAATTTGATCACCCAGAACTGTAAAGTGTGTAGTAACACAATCCTAAGTAGAAACTACATTGACATCCAATGATAATTGGATAGACATTAAGGAATAATAAAAAAAAAAAAAAAACATGGACAGACTGAAGTTTACCAGTGAGAATAAAAATAAAAAATTGGACTACAGGAAAAATCTTGTTTGATTTCCAACTGGGGATTTTCTGCAACTGAAGGAGAAGAAGCCTTGAAAGACACCTTGCCTTAAACCGTATCCCTTGCAGATTCTGCCTGATGATTATCTTGCTGCAGCTTGCATCGGGGACAAGCTTAACTTCGGCTGTGGATGCTCCAATATCTTGACGGACAGCCAGATGATTTTTCAGAGTCAGATCAATTGTTTTGGGTCTAACACTTGACCTTTTGCTCCACAATCTTTAGGAATTTTGAAGAAATTTAAAATGACTGTCTTACTTCCACAGATCCACATTTTGGGAAAAATTAAGACTTTTAAATTCTATTTAGTTTAACCTTTGATGAGCTAATGAACAGCCGATTTCAGTATAATGATTGATTGCAGAAAACTACTTTAAGTTGTTTTTTTGTTGTTGTTGTTTTTGTCTCACTCCCATTTAATCTGTTTGCTTTTTGTAGTTTTACTTAAAACTGTCTTAAGAGGTCTTACATTTTTGGTCAAGAGTGTAAAGCTAAAGAACATCATGCCTTCTGTGAAGTATAGAAGCGAAGGGGTCATGGTTTGCGAATGCTTCTCTTCTGCACCATATGATCATATTAACAGCACAGTATCCACCAAAACTAAATCGAAAAACATTACAATTCCCATACAGCTATGCTCTCAATCTCAAGCCTTGAGGCCTGGGTTCCTGTAACTTTGGTGTGTATCCCCTGCCTGACACACCTGAATAAAATGGCCAAATTTTCTCGCTAGAATGCAGACGTTTTCTATAGAGCACTACTCATGAGCTAATATTTGAGTCTGGTGTTTGACACAGAGCCACATCTACTTGGTGAAGAAGTAATGTTTGACACCACTTGCCTTAATATAGTATACTAGTAAATCCATCCAGAGGGGATATGGCTAGACTTTATAGGGTAGAATGTCTAAACCCTTCCCCTTGTCATGATTCTGCAGTTTTTGGTTCTGTTTAAGTTTTCTTTTTTCTTTTCAGTTACACTTTAATTTATGACATTCTGTTTTCTACGTAATTTCATTTCAGTTCATTCTAATTGTTTTGTGTTTGCATTTGAGTTCTTATGTATTTCTTGTTTACTCTCTGTTGCCCCCTTGTATCAGCCTCCTTTCCCCCAGCTCCCTTCTAGCTCCTTCTGTCTACACCTGCTCCCAATCAGTTCTTACTCCATCCATTGTTCTTTTTGGCATTTATACTCCTCCTCTGCAGTTACTGTTGGCTGGATTCTTTTCATCCCTTCATCCCCTCCTAAACCCATATGTTCCCATATGAGTTATTTACGGATTTATGGTTCTGTTGCCACTACTCCTTCTTAAATCTGCAAGAAACCACCTCAGCTTCTGCCTCTGCATTTGGGTCCTCTACAAACCTCTGCCCAACCTAACACCCTTTAGAATATACAGTGTGTTAATATCTCTTGTTTTATTAGTAAAGCAAATTTCTTTTTTCCAAATGTGTGTAATAGTTATATAAGAACAACACAAAAAGCAACTATTTAGTTTGATAAAAGCCATTAGCAACATCTAAACTGAATACATCTAAACTAAATACAAAATACAATTTTATAATAAATAAATAAATACATTTTTATTTTTGTATAATTGGTGTCCTTGCATGGGGCCAGTTAAATAATACAATACTTATAAAATTCTTTAAAATTCTTGCCGCTATGTATAAACCACAATACTTCTCTATGGTCTCCATACACACCATATCAACACCCTATACAATCATGAAGCTTTGGTAGACAAGTTATGATCTGAGCTTTTTTATAGTTGTTTGATAGAAATGTTTGATAATGCATTAATTAATCTAAGGTGCTGAATGTCAGACTAAAATGTCAAAGAACTGTGCAGGAATCAAAATGGGACTTTTAGCAACGTTAAAGGAAAAAAAAGAAGAGCTGGCTGATATGAATAAAAGGTAAAACTGATACAGTCTCACAAAATATGTTGCTGTTCATTTTAAAATTTTATAGAATAGCTTTTGGTTCTTTGTTATGTTTGAATATGTTTTGGGGTTGCACTAATCAACCAATAAAATCTTCTTTTTCACACCTCTTCCAAGGAGCTGTGCAAAAAGATTTCATTTCCAGCCCAAAAAAAAACAAACAAACAGCATCTGACAAAACTGAGAAATTAGGTTAATATTTACAAAAGACATAAAAAGTGTCAATTTATATGAGCTTTGCTGTTGTGGATTAAAAAATTATCAATATTCTACCAAAGATCTACAAAAAAAAAAAAAGAAGAAGAAAAACACTGCAGAAAAAAGAACAAAACCAAAATCTGCATTATATTGTACAACTGTATTTACACATGGCGAAATAAAAACTCTAATCAAAATTATTCTTGAACTTAAAATAAAAGCAAATGTAATAGCTGACTAAGCCTAATGGTAATCTATGTGATATTTCATAAAAATGTTAAATCAGAATTGGGGCTATTTCTTATAGAATCATAGGAAAACCACCACAGCAGATTCATACCACATTTAATGCTACAGAAGTTTAAAGAACATTATCATATGAATACAACATGAATATTACTTTTTAAATAATGTTTAAAGTTTTTAATATTATACCACAGTAAAATGCTCTAGATGTCATAACTATTGTTCAAACCTAAAAAACATATTACTACAGTAAACTTGTCGCACTAGTATGTGATATCTTCCTTTAAACTGATGCATCTCCATGCCTCCTTCAAGAACAAACAATGTTCTGCAGGTACATTATAATGTAAATATATCTGACTACTGAAATAAGCAGAAGCAATGAAGATCTTTTAGAACATTTAAAACGATCTGAACTCTAATTCTAAGACTCCGTATGTGGTAGAGGGTTTCTTTTTATCCTAGTAAGAATATTTTTATTTTAAAGATTTTTTTAAAAATGAGTAAATAAAAACGAATTGACTATGCAGCATACAGAACTGGGGCAAATAAAAAAAAGCTGCTAATAGAGTTTTAAAACAAGTTTTGAACAAAAAACGTTATTTTCCTTTTTTATGATGTTGCAAACTCACACATTTCGTTGGTGTCAAAGCTTCCGTCAGTCTCTCTGTCTGCGTGCTTGCTGAGCCCCATGAGAGTCTCCTGTCGCATCCACTTTGGAAGGTCCAGATTTTCCTTTTTGGGACAATTATCTTTGATCTTGTTCCTCAGAGCCAAAACTCTTCTCTCCATTTCAACCTCATATAAATTAGCTATTTGTAAGGAGTCAGGTTAGAATGTTTTACCCCAGTTTCACACACTACTTAAGTGGAAGGAGAGAAACAGCAGAAGGTTAAAAGGAAGTCTAAGTCTTCTGTTTTCTGAAGGTTGATCCATGTTTGCTTTCCTGGGTCACGCCCACAAAGTCAGCTCATAATATTTACCATTACTGGCATCAGCTGTGTTCAACTAGAGGGTGGCAGAACTATTTACCTCTTCTGAATAACATAATGTAATTGATTGACTTTATTGATCTCACAGTGAAGAATTTAGTTTTTACATCGGCTCAATAGTCAAAAAGAAGAAGGTGCCAAAAACCGGTGCATGGGTTTTATACAGTATATACAGTGAGTCCACATACATACATACACACACACATATATATGTATATATATATATATATATATACATATACACATATAGACCACAGCATTTTGTGGACTTATAACGGTTACGTTACTTACAGACTGTAAAGAAACGAGAAGTTTTTCACACCTACAGTTGACATCTATTACACCATGACTGTTATGAATAAAACAATCAGGAGTTTCCCTTTTTTAACTGAGCTGCAAAATAGATGAAGTGTTAAATGGGAACTGAGTGAGCAGTGATTTCAAGAAGATTTCAGGTTTAATATTTATTACTCATTGACAGAAACATGTTGTAACACAAAAGATGAATAAAACAGGAAAATAATAAAATAAATAAAATAGTTAGCAGTTATCCTCATCTTTAATTGACTATATTTTTACAACATTATATTCATTTGGATTTCAAATGAGTGTGCAAAGGAAGAAAATCCAGAGATTACAATGTACTGCATATACTTTATGACATTATTTTGTATGTGTAAAATTGGCAGGATTTCCTTCTTTAATTAAATACTATTGCATTATGTTGTATTTCACTCCTTTTTGCTGTTTTGCTTAACATAAAATCTATTTTCAAAGACGACCATGTGGCTGTTTATACCAATGTTCAATACACAACCCATTATGTTGCCAAAAAACTATATATATATATATAAATAATCTGGTATCTGCAAACTTTAAAAGTCACCTCCACATTTACTTATTGCTTAAAAGGAATTAATCAGTGCAAGTGCTTGGCTTCTGGTAGCAGCAGAAAGCTAAGAATGTCTCCTTGTGTGCGGGGCTGCCAGGTCCTGGCAAGACTAAAGCTAGCCCCGCATAAAACCTTCAGAGTGGCTCTAATTGTTGCAGGAAATATCTTCAATTCAACCCGGCTTCCTGACATTTCCCACGTCGTTACATTCACCTGAAGAACTTATCGATGGTGTTGCAGGATCCTAGGCTTTTGGCTTTTTTAGACGGAGGAGAAGAAGGTGTGTCTCGTCTACAACAAGAAAGGAAGACAGGGAAAATGGCAGTTATTCAAGGATATTATCATTGGTTTCACTCAAGAGAGCTACAGTGGGATAGTTTGGATTACTGGGGCAGGCGCCTCCAGTTCTTAAAAACCAGTGTTTTCTATATGATCCATATTTCACCTAAACAAGAACAAGTGATTAAATCCTTTATTCTAACCCTTAATTCTAATGGTCAAGTCAAAGTCAAGCATAAACTCAGCTAAGGATCTATGGCAAGACTTAAAAATCTCATGAAAAATTTCAGGTTAACTAGCATTGATTTAACGCGCACACTAATAAAATAACCATGCTTAAAGGTATAGAGGACGATCTTTTATTTCCGGGTGGATTATCAAAATAAGTGGTCCTCCAAATTGTCAATCATTCTGGTTATATGTTTACGTGCGGCTGTCCTACGTTATTGTCCGTAGCTAGCTATCCTTTTTTTGCGGATGCTCACTTTTAGGTGTGGATATTTGGTGAGCAATATTTTCATTCAGTTAAGCTCGCCTTTCTCAAGTCGGTTCTTTGAAAATGGCCAAAGGTCCAAATAGAAAAACTGTCTACGAAGTGGATGAGAAGAAGAGAAAGGCCTCAGAAGACAGAAACAAGAAAGCACACTGAAACACTGAAAGCACAGGTCGGGCTTCCCACTGATGCCTTGGTTGCGAAGTTTCTACTCGACAGGTAAAGTTTGCCATGCTTTTTGGAGAAAACCCTTTCACATCACTGCGACTAAAAGTTATCTACCTCTAAATTGTAACTTTCCAGGGACAATAAGTTTATTTATTTTGTAATTTGCAACATTAGTAGTTATACGGTGGCCACAGATCCTTATTTACCCCGCAACAAAATGTTCAAATTTTCACGCAGCACACACACAAATATTTGCATGTCATGGTTCTTTTAATGCACCAGTAGACAGACATAGTAGAAAAATTCCAACTCTTATTTCTGAAAGTTACCTTGTGATGCAAGCAGCGACTTGTGAACAGAACATGCACAAGGAGAGATGGCCTTGTGCATGCTCTTGAATGCGTTTTATTGGGGTTCCCTGTTGTGAGTGGCTACAGGGATGTGCAGGCACATTTTTTTTTTAAGTCTTTTCAAAAATTCCTGAAATTCCTCCTCTATAAATTTAATGTGTTTATAGTATTAGAAAATCCCAAACAGCTCATTGGTCTGAATTGTTTTGCAAAGAGAAAACATTTGGGAACAGCATATGGAAAGCCATTAAATCGCCTCACCGTTTGCTCTTTCCTTTACTGGCTTGCCTTGGCAGGGGATGTCCGACATCTGCAAGCAGAGACATGCAACCTGTTAGATGGAGGAGAAAAAGGAGCTCCTCTGGTCTCTCAGTGGAAACAGACACCCATTGAGGAGCTACATAGATGCAACATCTCTTCAGAAACATAAAGAGCTCGTTTCTAGAAGCTTGTTTCAGAGAAAAAACAGGCCTTTGTTCATTGTTGGGGATAGATAGGACGGATAGATTGGATGCCATTTCCAAGAGGGGGGGTTGGTGGCAGGGGTGAAATGAGATGTCCTTTCTCTGTCGGGATCAATAAGACCTTCTCATACAGTTCCACTGTCAGTAAGGGTCACAGGCCACTGAGAGCCCTTTGAAATAAAACAATGCTTCTGTTCCCTCCAAAGAAAGGATGTGCTCACAGGTTATGGATACTTTTAACAGCCCTGTGTCTTCCATTACACTTAAGATCTATGAGGAAGCTAATAGTATACCTGGAGCCCCATTGTTAACATAAACTAGCAGGTAGTAGTTGATTCTGGCTTTGCAGAAGCAGCAGAACAAAATGAACCTTTCAGAAGACAAAGGGAAGCATATGTCTCTCTGCTGGACAGCTTGATCTGGTGTCTACAGTTATATAAAAAATGATATGATACACTTTATCATGCATCTTGATCTGGAAACACCTTATTGTACTTGGTTCATTGGAATAGATATACATACATTTGTTCTAAGATAGTAATTTATGAGAGAGAGAGACAGAGAGAGGAAGGAAGGAAGGAAGGAAGGAAGGAAGGAAGGAAGGAAGGAAGGAAGGAAGGAAGGAAGGAAGGAAGGAAGGAAGGAAGGAAGGAAGGAAGGAAGGAAGGAAGGAAGGAAGGAAGGAAGGAAGGAAGGAAGGAAGGAAGGAAGGAAGGAAGGAAGGAAGCCTGACCTTAGCTGCTGGGATCCCAGTATGATAACTGCTCTTTATAATACTTTCTGAATTGATTGACAGTAATGATTTCTGCTCCATGCTCATTGTCTTCTCCTGGCATTGTGTTTATACACATGGGAACCCCAAGGATTGTCCTGTTTCATTTTTTTTCCAGGTTACAAATACATGATCATATAACCAGGTAAAGAAAAGATGGTTTGAAGCTATGAGAAGTGAATTAAAGTAGACATTCTTACCAATGTTTTGGTTATTTTTAACAGCAGGGTGTTTTCCAGAAAATGCCTCCTGACCTCCGAGTTCATGTAGGACTTCCTGATTGAGGCAGAGGTCCACATGGTGGTTGAAGGTGGCGAGGTCGTCCGTCTCTTGGGTCTGCTGACATATGGGGCAGGTAAGGGGGGGGCGATCACTGTGGGGTGACTGCTGTGGAAGGGCCCCAGGCTTGCTGCCAGCTTTAATCGGTGATTCCAAATCGTTCTTCAAGGTCTGCTGTCCTTCTTGAGGTGATGCTCTGCTCGAATCAAACTGCTTCTCCTGTTCGGGTGCAACTACAGATTTTAGGCGGTGATTTTCTGGATTAGGGTCCGACTCAGAGTCTGAGTCTTCCTTCCTTGCAGCGTCACTGAGACAGGAGTCTATATGCCTGTTAAAGACATTCAGATCAGCGGTCTCCACTTTCCTGAAGCACACAGGACATGTGAGGGTTTCTGTGACAGCCCAACAACCTGACGTGGATGCATGAGACTGCAAGGTCTGGACATTTTCAGAATCTAGGACTGCACATTCAATTGTGTTTGCTTGTTTCGATGACTGTGCACTGTTGTTGGAGGTAATTAGAGGAACATCACATCCTTCATCCAGTGGAGTTGCTTTTGCCGCCTGGATTTGTAGTCTGTTGGCCTGAGCTCTTTGAAAGAAAGACTGCTGTGGTTCCTCTCCAGGGGGCCTCTGCTTACTCCACCACAAAGACTTGCTTTGTTTCGGACCATTCTTCGCTGGTGGATCATGGACAAACTGAGATGTCTGGATGGACTGATCACATGAATTCCCTTCTACTGCAATTTGGTTCATTATTTGGGAAGGACGACCACAGTCTGACTTGCCTGGCTGAAGAAAGCTAATGATGCTTTTCTGCATCAGAGTTTTGTCATCTGAGCTAACAAAGGTGGATATCCGAACACCTGTGAGTACAAAGGGAACTAATCAGAAAATCTTTAGAAAGAAACCCAAGTACAATGCCTTTAAATGTATTCAAATCCTTTGGGTTTGTTTTTTTTAGCTTTTGAGTAAAAAAAAAAAAACTACACAAACTTGAACAGATTTGATTTCTAAATGTTTTGTATGCATTTCTATTGATGCCTCTGAGACCTTCTGCTGCATGTACAGCATGTGGTCTAATGGGGTTTGTTTCTATCACCTGCTTAAAACTACCCACTTTAAAGCCTCAGTCAGGCTGGATTAAGCTATTACTTGACTATCCTTGCCACAGATTCTGAAATGTTTTGTCTGGACTTTGACTGAGCCATTAGGG